ATCTGTCGAAACTTGGTCGCTCCCAACGGTTTTGTTAGTGCATCAGCTATCATCATCTCTGATGGACAGAACTCCAATTTCACAACGCCTTGATTTACCAAATCCTTGATGAAATGCTGCTTTGTATCAATGTGTTTGGATCTCTTGCTTGTTCGTTCCGCCTTGATGAAACTCAAACAGCTTTGATTGTCCTCGTAGACTGTTGTGCACTGCTGAACTTGCCCAAGATCTTCCATCAATCGACGCAGCCAGATTAGCTCCTGGCACGCCTCGCTTAATGCCACATATTCCGCTTCCATAGAAGATAAACTTACACAGGATTGTTTATGACTCATCCATGCAATCGGTCCAGCTCCAAAGAAGAACATGTACCCACTTGTAGATTTCCGAGTCGCTTGGTCGCCTGCCCAGTCTGCATCTGAGTAGCCCTCGAGTATCCATCCTTTTCCAGCTCCAAATTCCAGCTTAAGGTCTTTTGTTCCCTTTAGATATCTGACTACCCGCTTCGCCGCTTTCCAATCTATTTCTGAAGGATTGCTCACTTTTCTTCCAAGAAGAGATACACTTGCTGCCACATCTGGTCTAGCATTTACCGCCACGTAAAGGAGGGCACCTACTAAACTTCGGTACAGAGTAACATCTTCAAACGGCTTGCTGTTGCTATCCGATTTGACATAGCTCGGATCCATTGGTGATTTAGAAGGGTTGCAGTCCTTGAGACCAAACTTCTCGATCAAAGCATCGATGTAACTTGTCAAGCGTAGGCTGTAGAATCCTCCATTGCAGCGCACCTCATGACCAAGAAAATGCTTCACCTTTCCAAGGTTTGTAACATCGAACTCCTTCCGAAGTGCTTCGAACACAGCATCTATAACTGCTGTTTGCGTACACGCAACTAATATGTCGTCGACGTATACAAGAAGATATACCGTCTTCGAACCATCACGTCGAACATACAAACAGGGATCTGATTCACATTGTTCAAGCTTTAGCTTCATCAACACCGCATGTAATGCACGATTCCAGCATCGTGCTGACTGCTTGAGGCCATAGATGCTCCTCCTGAGTCGGCACACCATGTTCTCCTTACCAGCAACTTCATATCCGGGGGGCTGTCGCATGTAGATCTCCTCTTCGATGGTACCGTGTAGGTACGCCGTTTTAACATCCATGTGTTGCACTACCATACGTTTCTTCCCTGCTACTGCCAGAAGCGCACGTAGAGTTTCCTGCCGCGTTACCGGAGCGAACACATCCAAGTAATCAACACCGTAGCGTTGATTGTAGCCTTGCGCCACCAGTCTTGCCTTATGCTTCACGACTTCCCCACTTTCGTTACGTTTTAGCTTGAACACCCACCGTGACCCAACCACTTTTCTTCCTTCCGGTAGATGAACCAGCTCCCAGGTTCCATTCAAATTGTGTGATCCAATTTCCGAATCCATCGCTTCCTTCCATTTCGAAATCTCCAACGCCTTCCGGTAATCGGTTGGTTCAAATGAAGAAAACTCAGCGATACCCACAACAAAATTGTCATACCGTCTTGTTAGAACACCTCTAGTTCTCCTTTGAATACGCTGCAATGTTTGCTCCTCCTCTTGGCGATCACCTTCATCACTGAAACCTTGAAAATCTTCTTCTGACGGATCATCCGCAGAACTCCAACCTTCAAAGTCATCAGAAGAAACATCATCGTCTACAGCATTTCGACCAGTCGTCACCGGGTTGATCGGGATAACAACGGAATCATCCAACTCCTCTGACACAACCTCAGATTTCCGTTCACCCAATCGTTCCGATCCATTACCAAGCTCAATGAACATCGCATCTCTACTTATGGTCACACGATTAGTAACCAAATCGAGAAAACGATATCCCTTATGGTCCTCAGAATAGCCAACGAAAGTTAGTTTAATAGACTTCTCATCTAACTTAGATCGTTTTGCATCAGGTATGTGCACATAAGCATCACATCCAAATACACGAAGATGTTCAAAACTTGGCTTGCGTCCTGTCCAAAGTTCGAACGGTGTCTTCACTACAACCCTGGATGGTAGCCGGTTTTGCAGGTAAGTTGCCGTCAAGACAGCCTCGCCCCAATACAGTTTTCCTAATCCAGCATCTGCTAACATACAAATCGCCATTTCCTGTATTGATCGGTTCTTGCGCTCGGCGACGCCGTTTTGTTGCGGAGAATACGGCATGGTGTACTGCGCCTTTATGCCCTCAGCTTCATAAAACTCCCGCAGCTCACGGTTGACGTACTCGCCTCCGCCATCGGATCGAATGACGCGTGGCTTACGCCCGAAACAATTCTCCACCCACCGAACATACAGCTGAATCTTTCCTGAGGCTTCTGATTTATTCTTCAGCAGATACACGGTTGTGTACCGGCTGAAATCGTCAATGAGCGTCATCAGATAGCGATTTCCCGATGGTGTAGTGGTTTCCATTGGGCCACACAGATCCGTGTGAACCAACTCCAGGGGCTGTGAAGATTTCCGCTCAGTCACAGGAGGAAAAGGCTTTCGCGCAAGCTTGCCCTTCATGCAACACTCGCAGACGATGCGAGCCCCACAATCATGTAAAATGAAACCACTTACCAGCTCATCTGCTACTATTCGCCTCAGCACATCAGGGTCTCGATGGCCAATCCGACGATGCCAAGTATGCTGGCACCGCTCAAGATGTTCACCGCCAACTTTCATTGAACGTTCATAAATCCGCAACGGGTATAGGTTGCTAACTTTATCTGCAACTAGCACTGATTCACCCTTTTCATTCTGGATCACACACGACGTTGCATCGAATTTCGCCGCGAATCCATTCGCAGCCAGTTGACTCACCGAAATTAAACCACCATCCAGTTCCGGCACGTACAGTACGTTTTTCAAAGTTACTTCTACCCGGTCACCACGTCCGTTCTCACCGAAAACGACGCCCTCACCGACACCGCACACTTTCGTTTTATTACCGTCGGCAAGCGTAACTCTCGAATAGTCACTAGCGTTCATTGACTCGAAAAACGATCGATCACTCGTCATATGACGCGTCGCACCACTGTCAATTACCCAACAGCCCGGCATCGCATCACCAGCCATAAAACACACGGATCCCCCAGAACCACCCGCGTTATGGGCCTGTTTTGCTTTAGGATTTCCACCTCTGTAATTATCATCCTTCCGATGCCACGGTTTCTTCTCATCTTCACAAATATTCTTCTTCGACTGCAACTTCTTGCAATGCTTTCGAAAATGACCGGGTTGTTTACAGAAATAACACACTTTTTCTCTTCTGTTTTCACCTGCATCGAGCTTCATCGCTTTCATATCGTTCGACAAAACATCACTTCTCTCCCGCCGTTGGTTGTACTCATCCAAAAGGCGAGCTTTTACCAGCACAACTGTCCAATCAACATCTGCCCGGCACTGTAAACTTTGCACCAAGCTTCGATACGACGGAGGAACACTACGGAAAATCATTGCTATCTGCAACGACTCGTCCAAGTTTTGCCCCGCAGCAATCAACTTATCAAACAACTCTTCCATCGTGTTCAAGTGTTCTTCCATGTTCCCATTTTCAGCCATATTTGCACTACACAGTTGGTTTAGATAATGCACAACGGTGGACATTGTTGCTTTTTCGTGGTGCTCCCGTAGAGCATTCCACATCCCACGAGCACTGTCTGAATTCTTCACCAACTTGAATTGACTTTCATCGAGAAAAAGTCCAATGTTCGCACGAGCTTTCCGATCGCGACTCTTCCATTCTTCCGTCTCCGGTTCCGGCTTTGCAACACTTATGACATCCCACAAATCCTCCTTCTCGAGCAACCATTCCATTCGTTGCTTCCAAGAAGCCCAGTTCGTTTGACTCAACTTGGGGAATGAAACTTTTGCACCGTCCGCCATTATGAAAAAAAAAACCGGCTACCACACGTTTAGAGTCCGCGAGAAAATAAAATAAAAAACACTAGAACAGTTTCTTTTTCAGTTCAGCACTTTTCTTCACTTCTCCTGCGCTGGGCCCATAACCTGTGGACAAAACAACCAGCCAACAGGAAGCAACACATGCGGAAAAGGACGAAAAAGGAACTTCGGATAATGAAACTTAGAACAACCGATTACAGTACTACATAATTATATTTACGTCCAACATACACGAGTTGTTGTCTGATAGTGAAAGAAATAAAACAAACATCGCTACACACTGAAAAATATCAGATCAGTATCTCGAATTCAACTACCTTACCAAGGTGTGTGTAGATAGGTGGTCAATGATATTCTCCCACATCGTGTGCTTCTCAAATTCAACTAGTTTTTGGAATCAAAAACAATGTTCCAACTCTATTGATTAATTGATCTTAGTAATGGCACCAAGAAATGTGCAAAACAAAGTATAAAAGTCATGTGAAATGCTCGGTGAAATGCTGGCTTCTAGCAAGGGTTGCAAGATAATTAAGGTACAAATCCCTGCTGCCGAATTGTATTTTGTTTTCTCCGTCTATCTCTCCCTCTGAGTATTTCTACACGAAACGAAAATCAATTACTTTATTCATGTGTTTACTTATATATTTTTGCCAAAACATCAGCCTTATACATTCCATAAGACAAACCACATACGTCCTATAAGAATGCATAAACGGTATGTGTGACGATTTATACATTTCATTTGACACATGATCTTTATTAACTTTTTGCAAGGCGTCTGCTTATTAATTGACTTATACATTTTATGAATAATCAGCAATGGAAATTTGCCAAAAGGTATAAGGGGATTTCTATCCGTGTAGTTTCCATCGGATGGTGTTGCCTCGGGTGTGTTGCCATGTGGTACACTGAAAAAATGCAATAGCAGTTTCGCCACCAAAGTTTGCGAGCCGCTCCGTCTGTCACTTCGTTTGTGGTAGATCTGTGCGCCAATGCATTCAGAACGCGAGCGCCCACTACTGTTTTTTGTTTACGGGATTTATTTTGTTATGATTCAAGCAGCAGCATGCAATAACAAAAAAAATGTTCAATAACTATAAACTTCTATTTATTCACTAAAGGTCGTAAAGGTACGTGTTTTAAACGTGAAAAAATAAATTTTCGGGCATTATTAATGCTGTTAACAGTTTGCAGAAGCTAGAAAAAATGTCAACCCGTTCGAAACGTTCCTCTACAGCCACTGCGAGTAACAGGGGACGTACCTTACGCAAGCAGAAAATCACCGAGGATAGCATCGACTCTATGTGCCGGGTGTGTATGCGGTGGAATTCGAGTCCGCTGATGGTTGATCTGTTCAACCGGGCGTTCCAGGACACGAAGCTGTCCGAAGTGCTTTCGCTCGTCGGATCAGTGCAGATCTCCCAGGACGATCGGTTACCGAAGGTGTGCTGTACGCGATGCTTGAAGGTCCTAGAACGAGCTTACAAGCTGAGAATGCTCTGCCAGGATTCGGATAGGAAACTTCGCGATTTGTTTTCCGATGTGGAAGTTGCGGTGGTGAAGGAAGAGTTCCATACTGATGAGATGAATCCACTGGAAGTTGTTTGTAACCCGGATGTGGATAGATTGTTGGATGATGAGAAAGAGGCTGGTCCCTCGGAGAATATTGTTCAGCCGAAACTTGAGATTGAAGCGGATGAGGATGTAGAAGATTGGATTGAGATGGCGGATAATGGTGCTGCGCTCGAAGACAAGGAACCGGAAGAACAGCCGGAGGAAAAAATTAAACGCGAGTCTAAAAAGTTTAAATATCCTGATGTTTTCGACGAGATACCTGCCGTTGGTTTTAGATGCTGCGGATGCAAGAAAATTGTCGATACGTTCGAAGAATTGCTCACTCATAGCCAGGTAGCTCATGCGGAAAAAAAGCAACCGACATTGCAGTTGCTACAAAAGATGCAGTGCGATATCTGTTATAAAGTGTTGTCAAATTCCAGTGCTCTGGAAAGCCACAATAACTTGGGCAAAGTAAACTATCGCTGCAAGTCCTGTGGGGATCTTTTCTGGAACAAGAGGAGAGTGTATACCCATTTCAAGCGGCTGCACGGTCCAAATCCAACGATTTCGGGTCCCTTGCGGATTTGCTGCGCATGTTTGGAAAGGTTTGAAACTGAACAACAGCTAAGAGAACATTCCGTGGCTATACACCTTCCGGAGAAGCCTCCACCGAACCCAAGCCGTCCGTTTATCTGCAACATTTGCTACCGTAACTACAAAACCGATACGGACCGGTACGCTCACCAAACTAGGATGATCAAGCACGCCAAGAATCACATGTGTTTCGAATGTGGCAAAACCTTCAAGCATCCGTGTTTACTGCGAGATCATGAAATATTCCACACCGGAGAGAAAGTGTTCCAATGTCCGCATTGTCCTGCATCGTACAGCAGTAGGGAAAGCTACCGCACGCATGTGCAGGGCCATACGATGCCAATAGATAAGTACAAGTGCAAAATATGTGGCCGCTGCTTCAAGAAACCGGCGGGCCTTAAAGAGCATGTTCGCCTTCACACCGGAGAGCGTCCCTTCCAGTGTACCTATTGCCCGGCAAGTTTTGCGCGAACATCTTGTCTTAAAGCACATCTGCTTACCCATACAGGTGAAAAGAACATCCAATGTCCTTTGTGTGAAAAGCGATTCGGACGGACCAGCGAATGCCAAAAGCACGTGCAATTTGTTCATCATAGGCTAAAACCGTTCCCGTGCTTTTTCTGTCCGAAGCGCTACCCACGGAAGGACTACCGCAAGAGGCACATGGTGAGTGCCCATCCAAACGAACTTCGCGACAATCCTGTACCGGAGATTGAACTCTTTGGTAAGTCGCGGTGGCTTAATGTGCAGAATGAAGTGTCACAATCTCAGCAAAGTTCATCCGAATAAACATAAAATCCTATCATTAAAATCGTTTTATTTGATTCAATCATATATGTACCATTCTCATCCATGCACCCTGATTTGGTTTAAAAATTTGTTAACTATCACCAGGGTTCCTTCCATTCATTTTGGCTAAAAAAATGTTTTATAAAATTATGGAATAATAAGATATTATAATAATATTTTGTTTGTGTAAGCAACAAGAAAAGATTGTGGAGTTTGTGTTTGACACATAATACCAGCCAATGTTGCTGCATGAGAGTCGCAATAAGCCATTTTGTCATTTATCTCACCCACTCTTCGCGAGGAGGCGATCAGAAAATCGCTCATTGTGGCTCTGTCAAAGCTACATTTGCAGGTTTTATGTGTCAAACACAAACTTTAAAAATTTGTCTTGTTCCTTACACATACAAAATACCATCATAATATTGTATTATTCCATAATTTCCTAAAACATTTTTTTAGTCAAAATGAATGGAAGGCACCCTGCCTATCACATTTGGAAAAGAAACAACGCTAAAAAGCAAAGAGAGAAGCACCGCCGTCGTCAATCGATGATCTGCATCCGCATTTCGTTGGTAATGAACGAAGCCACTGTGTTGAGCACAGCCCGCTGTGCCGCCAGATTCCCCATCAGTAGTGGCAACAATATGGCTATGTCAGTGGGATGGAATTCGGCCAGCGAGGCCACAATGTGATCCTTGAGCTTCTCCCGTTCCCGCTCGGACATTTCGTGCATGATGATGTGGCTCACCGGATGGAACTTTCCTCGGCTCATGTAGCCGGCGCTGATGGCACCGATCGTACCACCCACGGCCAACCCCACCGGACCAGCCAGCACTCCTCCGATGAAACAGGCAGTGCCACAAACCGCAGCTCCTTTGGCACTGCTTTTCAGAGTAACTTTCATGCCTTCCTTGTCCGTGAGGGTGCCGACGGCTTCCATGAGCTCGCGCGTGTTGATAGGCATTTTTGTTTTTACGCTTGTTGAATATTATGGGCTAGTGCGGGAATTTCTGATGAGTAATGTGATGCAATTCAGAGGTAATTTGGCACTAACCTTCTAGAACAATGAGGAATCGGCGCTACTTCACGAGCTGCAAACTCATACTGCTTGAATGGCTTGAACGCAATCTTCAACCTGGTTGTTATCTTCAAGTACCATTCGTCGTTTCCAGTAAGCTTATCAGCAATCGAAATGTGCGCACGCATATGAGATGGGCTTAAATTTTTAAAGCAAATTTCGGGCTAGCAATGATACGACTCTGATGATGGAGAACAAAGTGCAACAGCTTTGTTACGAAATAATGGCATAGAGTAAAACGTCAAAAATATCGATCGAAATAAAAAAAGCCTATGCCCAGCGAGTTGAGTGATGCCGTTTTAGCTGCGGAAACGATGGCTCCTGAATGCACGGCCAACCAGAATACTCGCGTCACTTTTCAAATAGACCATATTCACCATTTTGAGAAAATCGAAGTTGATGTTCGACAGATTATTATTTTAACTGTTTAGAAACAATACATTTGCAATACTATTTTTATTGTAGTCAGTGAATAATAACGTTGAAAATTCAGTAGAATCGGTAAAATCACAATTTTACTTTGAATTTCTTGCTACAACAGAGAAAAAAAAAACACATAGGACGTTTTGACTAATCAAGTTGTGCATCGGACATGTTACCACCGACAAACCGACATGAATGATCATACAAATAACAAAAAAAAGTCTGATCGAAGCACAAAACGGACCTCTGCCGCCGTGTTCGCGAAAAATATTTATCCTACCCACGAACACACGTACAATTTATGAGTTGGTTCGTGTCTAATCTATTTCTAAAAAATTATTTTTATCTAGATAAAAAGTTTCTATGGCTTTGACAGCTGGGATCGCTGCACATTTGAATCGGTCGTTATGGGTTCCCGATCAAGAGTTAAGTTTAAGTTTCATGTCGGTTTGTCGGTGATGTTACATTGAACGATTTTTCTCAATGGCATGGAACGCACAAAAATTGGTCGACAAAAAAAATCGTTTCTTTCAATCAAAATTCATATCCCAAATTCTTCTTATTGGTAGTTCAATTCATATATTTGAGACGGCCCCCATTCCATATTTTGCATTTTATCATGGGCCGTCACATTATGTCACAGACAGTGACCTAGAGTTACCCGCATAAACGCGAACCATAAATTGACCTTACCTAAAATGGTTAAAAATTGTTTATAATCCCTGCTAAACTTTAACTGAAATGGTTATGGAACTTTACATGAACGTTTAATGATAAAGTTTCAATCTTATGTATTATGGTTTTTTGGAACTGGACCTTACAAATAATGGGTTGTTAAGAACCATTACCATTCCAAATTCTTGTTTTCTCCATACATTTTCGGAAAGAGAACTATATTAGAACCTTTTAACTTATGGTTTGAGAACTTTAATGGTAATGGTTATGGTAGTCAGTAAGGTACAGGAATGGTTTTGTAACATCGATCAACTTTATGTGGAATATATCGCGAATTGGTTGCCTGTAATTTACTGATTACCAATTCACGATATATTCCACGTAAAGTTGAGCGATAATACAAAACCATTAATGGACCTTACTGACTACCATAACCATTACCATTAATGTTCTCAAATCATAAGTAAAAACGTGCTTATATAGTTCTCTTTCTGAAAATATATGGAGAAAACAAGAATTTGGAATGGTAATGGTTCTTAACAACCCATTATTTGTAAGGTCCAGTTCCAAAAAACCATAATACATAAGGTTGAAACTTTATCATTAAACGTTCATGTAAAGTTCCATAACCATTTCAGTTAAAGTTTAGCAGGGATTATAAACAATTTTTAACCATTTTAGGTAAGGTCAATTTATGGTTCGCGTTTATGCGGGTATACAATTAAGAACGAAGCTACACGGTTAGAAAAAAGTACCCAAAATTAAGTTCTTTTCACCTAGGGGAAGGACAGCTCCAAGTATCAGTATCAATACCGATGGTGGAAATATTAAATATTTTAATATGTGTGATATTTGCGAATCTTATATTTAGTCTGACAGTTGTTTTTTGTTTGTTTTTGACTATTTTTGTTTTAAGTGTACATTTGACATTCGCTTAATCAAATTAATCACACGAGAGGCAAGTCATTCCTTTGTGATCTTGCTGGGAACCGCCACCAAAATCCGCTCCTTGTTCTCATAAATTCTGCATTTTTTGGTAGTTGTTCTCAGTGCACATAATCGGCCGCACTTCCATTCCCAGGAATTAATTTCCACGAATTCTTCATCGTCTGTGAACCAATGTGCTGTTCTCGTATGGAACGGAAATCGATTGACAACGCCGCCCCTGTTAACGGAAGCCCAGAGTGATGGTCCCGTAGTCGTATTACGCTTGATTCGCCATGAGAATGCAACTTGGAGAGATTTGTTGCTGGGGGAACGTCCAGTACCGTTTTTATGATGAAAAGCCGAAGTCGAAATCGATCAGAGCTATCGAAAACGAAAATCTAGGCAAAAATTATGACAAACAGAAAGCTGCAGTAAACATAAACAACAACGGTGCAACATCATTGAGTGTATGCGTTAAAGTTACACTGTTATTTTTTTTTTTACTTTGAAGCTTTCCGCTTGACAGTTAATATCAATAATATTTATACTAAAAATTATAATATCTACCAATTTGAGCAATTTTTACATCAAATATTCCTTCAGATCAAGTTGTACTTCCCCTAGCTTTTCACTCATCTCGGCACTATAGTGCAGGAACCCAAAAGTACACACAAAAAATTATCGTTGTTGAAATTAAAAAAATCGTTGATAGAATTTAAAGTTTGCGTTGGTTCTTTTTGGTAGAAAGCGGTTAGCTTTCAAAATAAAAGTTAGCCAACTGTCAAATCAAAAGTAGTCCACTCACTACTTTTAAAAGTTTGAACTTTCAAAATGAATTGTACTACTGTCAATTCAAAAGCATCACAGTGTTGAAATTAAAAGTGGAAATAATGTGGAAATTAACCAAAACAAACTATTAACATGAAAGTTCCTTACTGTTACAATAATATGTACCATTTGATTTAAAAAATCAATATTTTCAGTATGAATACCAGCATTTTCAATCATAACAATCAATTTTTTTCATTTAAAAATCTATTAATTATAAAATTCCTATTTTTGTGCTTCAATTTCAAATTCCAAAAATAAATTTATGTTTTAATATTGAATATTTTTACAGTTTACATGATAATTATTAGATTTTTGTATGGTTAGATAGACGTCGTATAGCAGCAGTCAGATTTTGCACTGCATCATCCATGTCTGTTGTGGTCCAGTACGGAGCAACAAAACTCAGTGAACTGGTGGCTTCGCTGAGGACATGTTCTATGTGGGAAACAGCCAGCGAAGCGTCGTGGATCTAATCTAGAATGGTATATAGAAATTAATGAGAGTGTAAAAGTAAGGGGTATAATCTGAAATAATCTTGTCCAAGCAGGGGGAAATTTAAGGTCACTTACTGGAATCTTTGTCGGACATTTGCGAGGTTTGCGTCTGTTCGAGAGTTTCGTGTGCTCGTGTTCGATTCCACTACCAGCATTGGCGAGCTGCTCGTTTCTAGAGCCTATAGACGTCCTTCAGGTAGTTCCAGGTAGGTTTTCACGTTCTAATGGACGACCGGATTCTACTGAAAGGTTCAATATTTTATTCTTGATCGAGACAGGGAATAATTTCAATACTCAACTGTTGCATGGGTCGATGCACAGGCTGGTTGCTGGTAAAATGTTCCACCTAATGTTTAGCGCGTTTTGTTTTATATACTCACGCTACCGTAGAATAACCCATAAAAAGGTAGAAATCTACCCATGAAGAAGTAAATTTGACAGTAAAACAATTTTCGATTTGAAAATTTGAGCTTTTAAAACTACAAGATAATACCCCGTTCACATTACAGCCTATATCACGTAATATAGGCTGTCTTGCAATGAGCACTCATACATAGGATTTCCAGTGAAAACTAGATGTATGAGTGCTCATTGCAAGACAGCGTATATCACGTGATATACGCTGTAATGTGAACGGGGTATAAGATCCAAACATTCGTTTTTGAATTGAAAATAGCATTATTAAATTAAATATCTTCGTAGTTAGGGTAACGAATTTGTTGATACTTTTAAATTGAAAGTTCAATATTTTTACTGGTACAATTTTTGTTTTTTGTGTGTAGGTAAAGCTGGTCAAAGTAATTTTCATTTACTTGTGTGCAGTTCGTATGGAATTTTCCACTGGCTTTTTAACCAAAAGTAAGTTAGTTGTACCCAACAGTAGGTAAATATGGTTATACTCAACGTTGGGTTCCCACACTTTACTACCCCTGTTGGGTGGGTTTACTCCTCCATTTTTGACAACATTAGAAGGAGAAAAGGAGACAAACTAGTCAAAAGTAGGTAAAAGTGAACTTTCCGTTGGTTAATTTTTTCTTACCGTGTAGGGTATACGGATGGCACCCCGAGCGTGGGCCTTAAAATTTTGCTTCTGCTAATGATAGCAATTTTTTCAAGTTCACACAACAGCGCAACGCGCGCCGCAGCAGGTTGTTTTGATATTTCTCTTAGCAGTATGTGGCTCTGAGAGAATAGAGTGTAGAATGAACTTTTTAGTAGAGGAGAAGTATGCTAGGGTATGTATAAGTATAGAAATGAATGAATCCAGCATTTTACGAGCGCTTATGGCCGCCATAATCTGGCTGTGCTTTTGGTAGGGAACATGTAATTTGACGTTTGGGTTGTGTCTTTAGACGTGTAAACGTTCAAATTTGATCGTTTACACGTCAAACGACACAAGCCAATCTTCATATCTTACACACTTAATCACGGCTTCCCCTGGTATGTGGTTAATTTTTCTAAAGCAATAAATAATATTTAAGATGAAAAAGTACACCATTGCGAAAAAAAATGCCCATCTTTTAATTTAAAACCTTTAATGAGTATATTTAAAAACCATAGGCTATTAGATTGACAGTTCTACAATTCGATTTGAAAGTTTCAATTTTTAAAATTAAAGAATGAGCTACTTTTGAATTGACTGTTGGCTGACTTTTGTTTTGGATGCAAAAAACTTTCTACCAAAAAGAACCAACGCAAACTTTTAATTCTATCAATGTTTTTTTTTTTTAATTTTATTAACGATAATTTTTTGTGTGTAAAGATTGCTGACGTTTATCCAAGCC